AGCAGTCGCCGGTCTGCAATCCTTTTTGTTTTTTATAAAATTTGTAGCAGTCTTTTTTGTCCACTCCCGACTTCGACTAGTGCGCTTAACCATTTAGCTGATGTAACAGCCCAGGCGAGCAGCCAACCACTCAGTCGGCCAACCACCAGACTCGCAAAAAAAAATGGAGGAAGATGCCCCACCCACCATCCGCCTTGCGGAATGTCCTTGTCAGCATTTTGCGCAGTGAAATTTTTGGTAAAATCTATTTTTCATCTTGGATTATGTGAATACATGAATAGGAAGCGAGAAGAATGGAAAGTTTTATTGTGACAGTTGAAGTTCGTTTCCTATGGACTTGCCCCCACACTTTCCCTACTGTAGCCATTTCAATGTGTTGTCCATCCAGGATCACATTAATCAAATATCCGCATAATTAATAGTCCTAGGTAATGCTGCCGGCTGCAATGACTGGCCATTTGAGCTCACTATGCACACATGATAGTAAGGAAAGTCCAAACAGAAAAATGAATTGCTTTTCATAAAATGTGTTATTCTGATTTTAATTAACAGGAAAATAAAATCGAAAAATGCATAATATAGATTTTCATCTCATAATTATAAAGTATACGCACCGTAACATGTTCGTTTAAAATTTGATATTTATTTGAAGAATATTCCAAATTCGCTTGTTGCGCTTTTTTTTTTGCTTTTGAAAAGTAGTCCGATTGTGCCAACAGGATTCGGGCTTCATTAGAACCGTGTTCACCAAATGCCAACCCGTATGGCATGCCTATGTAACATGCTCTGCGCTGAAAAGTATGCCATAAAGTATGCAATGCCCCTGGACGCACTTTTGTATGCCTGTGGGCGTACCTCTCTCGCTCTCTCTTTCTCCCTCTCTGTTGCACTCGTTGCATCTCTTTTTAGCCATTTCTCTTGCACCTTTCTCACCATTTCTGTCCCTCTGTGTGCACCTGCCTGCAATCGTAATTTCAATAAAAGTTGTTACGTGCACGTTGAAATTTTAATTGAAAGCTCCGACCACACTCACTCACACGTACTCATTTATTCGCACACTCGTATAGGCACACTACTATTCAAAATTTTAGAAATAAATCTCATATCTGCCTATTTTATGAATTTGGAATTCAATTTTACACTAAATAACCAACAAAAGTTACAATAAACTATTAAAATATTGGAATAATTAAAAGAAGAAATTGTAAGATACTCCCAATACATCATAAACATACATAGCTTTTTTGAAAGCAAAAAAATATTAACCTTCTGAAGCCTATTATTTTGACCTTTATTGTATACGTTGCAGAGAATCCTTTGGTGTCCTCGTCCGCGTCCTCGCTGAGCGTCAGCTGCTATCCTGCGACCCTCATCAGTGGAATTCCGAACAAAGCAGCAATGGGGACAACGAGCATGACATTTCAAATGCGTTGTGGCTAAGAAGATTATATTGCATCAGGTTTGATGATGAAAAAAATATGCGACACATGTGGCTCTGTTTTCATACACTCGTATGTACCATACATATGCAACTTCTTCGTATGAAAGTACATCGCTTGAAATTAACTACAACATGGCACATCCATGCAACCACAAGCCCCGTTTAAGCAGAACATGTTCGCTCATTAGCCAGCTGAGACAGGTGTTCAATTTTTGCCTTAAAAAGGGTTTTTGCCACAAGAAGCACCTCAAATGCAAAAATGCGGTTACCAGTAAGAACCTCTCCCTTTTTAAGCTGTAAAGATTGGTTGGCCATAAAAGTAAGAATAGTTTTCCTATAAAAGATATAAAAGAAAACACATTCAGTAATAGTTTTGAAAGGATTTATTTACTAAAAATTGATTTTTATAAAGCCCCCCTTCTAACTGAAGGCAAACTGAAAAGGAATAAAATGGTATTTTTATGAAAGCTTAAAGTGAGATATGCACTTTATTCTGAAGTGCGCCATCAAAGTCGGGGCCCGATTATCTAAGTAAAATATTTATTACTCGCCCAATCGGGCTTACCTTTCAATTGTCCTTATGGGGGACATTTTTCCGTGTAGTCATCGTCGGTCATCGGATTTGAAATGACAAGCGAGAAGCGATGAAACTTCGGAAGCCAGCTCCGAGGACCAACCGCAAACTAAGTCGTTAAAACAAAGAACCCTATCGGCTTACGGAAACTTTGTTGCAGCAGTGGAAGCAGCAGGATCAGGAGCAGTCCCAGACTGAAAACATGTTCGCCTCGGCCACTGCCAATTGCAAGTTTTGCATGTAAAGCGCCAAAAGTTTATGCTAAACTTTTGCCATTTTCTATAGATTCTTTTCGTTGGTCCTTTTGTCTTTGGTTGAATTTTAATTCCTCGAAAAAGTATGTAAATGTTGCCGACAGCCACTATCGAACGGCTCCGATGTCGTTAGATTTTATGTGCCAGGTTCCAAGGGTCTCCCCACAGACCGACCCTTTGCCCCCAACCAATCCGCCAATCTACATAGAAAGCTAGTTAAGCACACAACAAAATGTGGCCCAAATGAAGAGTTCTGGCCAGGCCCGAAGAGGCTGCGTAAACAAGGCATCACTTACATCCCAGGACAACGAGTTCCGAGTCAAGGCTCTCACAAGGCTTTTGAGCTATTTATCGAGCACTCGACTCAATGCAGCAATAAACCAATATCATCACTTGATGAAGCACAATTTCAAGAGCAGCAGCACTAAGTCTGCTCAAACATTTGAGGTCAGTGGACAATGGACCATGTACAAGCCCAAGAAGCTTCCGTCTGCCCCACTGCAGCATTAGAAATCAATAAAACTTTTCCCGCCAGCGCAGCTCTTATAATTGATGACTCTATAAACATACAACACCAAAAATAAATTATAACAGAGTACGAAGTCGACCGAATATGCAGAAAACTTTGTAAATTATGCAAATGCACTTGGCTATAGCTTGGCTGGTCTCTTTCAATGGAGTCCACTTGATTCCTGAAGGTCCTGAGATCCTGTGTGCGTCTAATGACGCAACACGCGCTGCTCAATGGGCCGAGTACATAATTCTCGCACTTGCGGCTGCAGTTTGTTCTGAACTTGTCCTTAAGGACCAAGCACACTGAAAGAAACTAAACATTTTACAATATTTTTAGCTCTGCTTTAACTTTCTATAATCCTTATAATCTAAAAGTTTATGTCCTTGAAAGTAAAACCTATTTTTGAAGTGTAATCTTGTCGGTCTAGTTCATCAAAGTTGGCTCGAACACAAATGAAAGTTTCTTGCCGCAGCCATGAAAAATGCATGGTGTCTGGACGTTGACTACCTGGCAGTCTACTAACTTGGCATTTTGTACCTGCCCATCTGGCCTGGCTCTGACAAGCGTTTTGGCAACGGCTTTGTAAAGTCAACTAACCAAAAATCTTTGGAGAGAACCCGAAAAGGGAATGCGGCAAATGCAAAAGCAAAGTTTCTCCTAAACTCTTTTGTGGCAACCGTACAGAGAGAAAAAAATAATAGACGTGTCGCGACTGAAAGTTTACAATTTACTTTTATTCTATTTTTTTTTAGGACTGAAGAGAACCATTTCCTATTTTCGACATCCCTTGGGCAAATGTGGCAAACATGTTCGTTAAGCAATTGCCCCAACTTTTTGGCCTTTCCGCCTCGAGGCAATGGACATAACTTTTTCGGAGACGAACGGCAGGTCGTAAATTTTCAAAAAATTTAAAAACAACAGCCACGAAAAGAGGAGCAGCTTGCAGAAATATTTTTCACTCGCTGACCGAAATTATTTTAAATCACCTGCTGCCCGGCATTTATCATTAGAGCCAGTCTCCCTAACGACCGCAGAAAGTCTTCAGCTCAACTCCCAGGGCGACTACAGCCAGAGCAAGATTTGCGAAAGAGCACTTTATTTTGGCCAAGCCATTGCCACGCCCTCTGCCCATCCTGCCCCATCCCCTGCCCCCATTGGCACTCTTTTCCACCCATACACTCATAATGCCGGCCACTGGTATCGGTACTGGAGCTTGTGATGTTATTTTGCCATTTTCGCGCTGCTTCATGGTTGGGGGAGAAACTGTTTTGTTATCACAGTGATAAATGGAAAATTATTTTGAATCGAGCAACTACTTAAAAGAATTCCCAAAGGTTGTAATAAATTTCTGGCCACACACACACAGACACACAATCCGCAATAAAGGACATGCGAGGAAGGACAAGTTGGTAAGACCGAATCCGAGTTGAGCTGGCTTGGTAATGTCCTTTCAGATAAAAAGGTGATTGACGAAGCGAAAGCAAAAGTCATGGCCGAAATTCCACTTAGCAATGCAGTTGTCGTTTTCGAAGAAGGACGAAAGTCCTGCCAAGTGCGGATTGTGCAGAGAATCGGATTTCTTCCTGCCATGCACTTAATTTGTATTGGGAGTTTGGGGCGAGAGACACTCAACCTTGAATAAGTTGAATAAAACTAAAAGTTTTCAAAAGGCAACATTGTAAGAAAAGTAGCCATGAAAAATATTCAAAAAGGTTCCTCAATTGCACAAAGAACAAGTTTTGAACGCCCTAAGCTTTAATTTTAATAAAATTGAAAGCCTGAAATTTATATTTTATTTTTTTCAACGGTGCAACATCCTTCTGAAAGACCAAGAGCTCCATGTAGATGCTCTATAGAAATCTCTCCGAGTCTCGGGGCAGATGGCTCTCCGAGCACAAAGGCACACTAAACCGAAGAGCTCACTCAACGAGCAGCACTAACAACATCTATTTTTATTTCATTAGGTAGAAAAATAGCCGGCAAGGTGAAGCCCCCGGCATCTTGGCCATCAAAACAAAGCGCCATACATTTGCGGGGGCGGAAACACCGTTCTGGCCACAAAAAGAAACTGTTTTCCGCTCCTCAATTACGTTTGCTTAATTTAAATTTGCTTCGAGTGCTTGGCAAGTGGTTGCGAGACATTAGCAGCAAATATTAGCAAATGCTTAAAGTTTTCCTCGAGTGGGCGTTTCAGTCGTCTTTTTCCCAACAAGCTCACTGTAGATTTATTCACTTACTAAAGACTGTCTCAGAGAAAAACTTCAAGATAATACTTCCTTTTTTGGAAGAAGAAAACACTTGCAAGAAAACACACAAGATCCGATCAGCAAAATGGACTTTGAAGACGAAGAAGAAGTGGTGACCCCACACTATACTCGCAAGTTTAGGATGCCAAGCGACCCCACGCTTTTGGCCGAATACGAGCTGTTTAAGCCCACCGCGGCCACCTTGAATCTGCACAGCGAACACAACCGCGAGATTTTCGCGGAGGCTTTCATCGAAGGTGGATTGGATACCCTGGAGCACCTGTGCGTGAAAAGCTTGGCCAAGTTGGGCACTCGCGGCATATCTCCAATGCTGGTGGAGAATCCGGAGCTAATGCGAGTGTTTTACGACGCCCTCGACGTGGAGTTGCCTCTAAGGTGCGTAGTCCTAGAGCTTTTTCGCAAAGATGTCCATTAAATTATGGATTTTTTCTAGGGAGTGTTATGTGATTGAAGACCAGCGTTTTTGGCGTCGTGTGGTTCTCAGCAAGACGCTGGACAAGACGCTGCACCTGAAGCATTGGAACGAGTTCGACTGGAAATCGGAGGGCGTGAGTCGGAAGTTCGTGGAGCTTGTGGAGGTCTGTCCAGTGAACATACAACCGGAGATGAAGCTCGCCCGGCTAGCGGGCAAGGTATGGGAATATGTGAACTCTATGCACGTGCGGAAGCTGCAGGCACTTCCCGATTTCAAGTTCGCCAAGTATCTGGACAGCGATGTCGATCAGGACATAACTTCTTCCTCGTCCGATGAGGAGTCGATCTCCAGCGACGAACCGGATACTGACCTGGGATTGGATGAGGAGGAGGGTGACGAGGGGGATAGCGTTACTAAGGTGCCTGAGATACAATTCTGGCGGATGGGCAGCGCAAATGACGAAAGCAATGACCGTCGTGCTGAGCGACGGAAAAGAAATGCTGCCCGTCAGGAAGCCCGAGATCAAATTGCCCAAAGGCGACTGGAGCATTTGGAGCGACGACAGAAACTCTTGGATGCCCGACAGGCTTTAGCCAATCCCCCACCGAAACCAAAAAAGAAAAAGAAGAAAAAGTCACCACCCATACAGGATGTGTTCAATATTCCAGTGGAGGCTGAGCCCGAGGACGACGAGGACACAAAGCCGGATCACCGAAACAAGACGCTGCTGTTGGACAGGATCAAGCGATATAATTATCCCGACGAGCACTGTCACCACATCGACTTGGGTATTGTGAGGATCTTTAGGAATTTGGTGTCCTTCACCTTGGAGTTTTTGGGACCCCCAGATGTTCATAATTATCATAAACGCCTCATAAAGTTTTCATATGGCGACATGGTGCGCCTGGGTCGGGGACTGCGCTGCCTGTCCTGCCTCAAAACCTTCAGGCTTCGGAATTCTCGTCTCAATGCTCGGAAACTACGAATCCTGGCCCGCAGCCTGCGAGCAATGGAGTCTGTGGAGGAGTTGGACTTCGGCTATGATCTGATGCCAGACGACTGCCACGAGGCACTGCGATACCTGTTGGATCGACCTGTTATGTTCCGCATGCTCCAGCTGGAGTACAACAGGCTCGGCAGTAACACAGCGGCGGTGTTGAGCAAGGCCATGACACAGGAGAACCAGGACGGTGTGTTGGAATATCTCGGCTTGGCCCACAACCCCCTGAACGAGGCAGCTTTGCACACGCTCTTCCAGGGCATTATCGGTACACCGCACGTGCTGGCCCTGAACATTTCTGGGATCGACGGAGGCAAGGGCGTGGGCGCCTTGGGCCGAGAAATCGGATATTTTCTGCGAAATCATGCGCCGCTCTTAAGTCTGGAAATGGCATCAATCAACATCGGTGTCTCTCAGGGATATCTGCTTTTGAGAAGCTTGGAGACAAATCAGAGGGTAATTTGAAAAAACAATATGACTTTCAAACTTGGCTAAATAGTTTCATGTCTTGCCTTTTACAGGTATTATATGTGGATTGCCGGGAATGCGAATTGGATAACGATCAGGAGTTTGAGGCCGACATTATAGTGCGTCGCAACAACTACATATTCAAGAACATGCATCATGGGGAGAACCTGTGCGCCGTCGTGAAGGATCGACGTCATCCTATTGTCCAACGGATCGAGGACTACGATTCTGCCAGAAAGGAGTGCGTTCTGAAACGACCGCCTCCATTGCCTCCCACTGAAGAAGCTGCGCCGGTTGTGGTCGAGGAGAAGAAGGAGGAGGAGGAGCGCGACATCTGGGCCATTCTTGGGATAGTAACCAAGCCGAAAGCGTCTGTGATGGCAGTGGAGGAGCGGAAGACCGAACGCTTTTCATCCATCAGGCTGGCGCCGTTCGAATACAACCCCAACTCCTTCAATCTTGACCAGTTTCGAGAGTCTGTTTATTTGCCAGGTCCTGGAAATCGATTTTTCTACCTGCAGAAGAACAAAATGCCCTAATTCCTACTGTCTTTGCTATCAGTCCTCGGAATAATTGTCTAACATTGTACACTGACTATATTTCGGAGCATTAAAGACGCCACTTAGCCGGCAGCCGAGTCTGTAGCTTTCGAGGACTAAGTCTTCCGCTGGTCGTTCGACCTAATGGTCACTTTAAACCCTTGCCGTAAAGTGCTGTGCTGGCATAAACGGGAATCTAATTAAGTCCCTGGCCACGCCCACAAAACCGGAGGGCCACACTTCATTTGAAGGTCACTGTGGAGGGCCACGAGCAGTGCAAGTGCAACAAAGTTGAGCTGTTTGCATTAAGCAGCGCAGATTTGGTCAACAGTGTCGCCAATTTAGTGCTGCTCCCTAGCCATTTTCCATTTGGGTTCCGACCCAAGTCGCTGACATTGGACCACTAAGCCATAAAAACGGCCAAGGAGTGGGAGACACTTGGAAAAAAAATCCATGAATTTATAAAAGTGCTTCTTAAAGAGGTTTCTTTTGTAAAGTCATATTTATAAGAGCCCTATTTGCAGATTAGTTAATGAACTTTATTATTTCAAGTGTGAAAGAGCCAAAAGGCATATGAAACTTGTCCTACTTAGAAAGCCAAAGCTCAGCAAGAATAAACAAATTAATGCATTGGCCCGGTTCGCCCTGGGTAATGTATGTCTATCTACCAATTGGGAGGCGTTTCCACCGAATGGCTGGCTGAGTGTAATGAGGATAAGGAGCGGGGACATTTCATGGCTCCATCTCGTCAGGATTCCCATGAAAGAAATATGCGCGCATGTAATTCAACTTATCAACGCGCCGAGCCACAAACTTTTCTCATCTACTTAACGCAGATAAGCGGCCGCCTTTTTTCGCCATGTTTACTGGCTTCTAATTTGCCCCGCCACAGATGTATATGCATTATATACATAGATCCAGATACATATACTGGCGAAGCGTTGATGGCGTTAACTTAATTTTCAGCCAGCACTCGACTCGAGACTAGAGACTGGAGACTGGCGAGGCGGGAAAAAAGTTGCCAACATTCCGGCATGAAGAGGGGCGGCCGCCGACTCGCTCGACTTTTTCTGACTTCTCTTGTGTGAAATAAAATTAACTAAATACGCTCACGAGTAACATTCATAATAAACATTAAGCAGCAAGGACCAGCAAAAAAAAAACTCGAATAAATATAAAAAATAATATTTGCCAGACTCCAGACTCCTTTTTGCGATTACGCCGCCCAGGCAGTGTGGCCAGCGTTTTTGGGTTTCTGTGGGAATGCGAGCGGGTGAAATTATGGCATAAGTTACTTAGGAGTAAAGCTGGCTTCCTGTCCCTGCCCCAGACCCTAGCCCCAGCCCTTAGCCTCGCCATCTTCAGCCCCTTGACAGCATCAACTTGGCTACACTTTACTTTTATGTGGCGCGCTCGGAATGTACTCCGAAATAAAGATACAGATACAAAGATACGCAGCAAGCGCCCAGATACAAGCACATTTGTAGCGATAAGCGTCATAAAGTTATCGTAAGTAAGCTCCAAAAAAAAAATGGCCAAGAAATAGGAGAAACCGGAAGGAAAAGCCAAGCTCGCGCGACGAAATTCCAAATACCCTAGGAGACTGGAAGTCAAACAGGATCATATAAAATTTTAAACAAAAACTCGAAAACTACAAATAAACCATAAAGTGAGGTAGTAAAGTAAGAAAGTTTAATAAAAACATTTCCAGCACCATCACAAATTTAAAGGACTCGAAATATCCACAAAAGAGAAAAGGAAGCAGAAGCCACAAGTTAAAGGAATCTTTGTTTTTTCGAGGGGGGGTGAACACAAATAAAACTATGACAAGGACGTAACTTTTAGCTCTGCCATCGCCCATCAGCCATTCCCCAATGGGTCGGAGTGCCCGGGGTCCAGCAGCAAGTCAATTACGCAGTGCCCGCCAAGATTCGCGCTTTCTTGCCAGCCACCAGCCACCGTTGTCAGTTTAATGAAAGCTTTGCCAGTGCATCGACGTATCTGCCAAATAGCTGGGGCGAATCAGTGGGATTTATTTTCCTCAGAGCTTCCCCATCTTGCTTAATAATTATTACTTGGACAACCTTTCATTTGATAAACTTATTTAAGACTCCTGCCCTTTTTCTTTTAGCTGATATTAATTAATAAAACATGTTTGCAATCACTCTGACTCTGATCCTGGCATAGTAATATCTCTGCATGGCAAATACCCCTTTTCAATAATGTAATTTTAATATGTAAATTCTTGGTATTAAGTTTACAGAAGTGGCATTTTTAATTTTACATTTAATATATTTTCTACCTCTGCAGGAATTCCCCCCAACAGTGTAAATATGAAATTTTAAAACGAAATAACTTTAATTAAAACCCGCTGCCTGGTGGACTTAATGAATTCCAAGGACTTCAAGGTGAGTTGCCACTTATGCCGCTGCATTGTCTTTGAGCCTCGTTAATTTGTTGTGTGCGAGTATATTAAATCGGTGTAATGGTGATAATCTGTTGGGGAATTAATTTAAATTGGTGCACTGTATGTATGTACGCAGGCCGAAGGAATATCAAAAAATCAAAAGAGATACTGGCTGGCTGACTACTGGCTGGGAAGGAAGCCAGTGAGTGGAGAGAAATCTTTACAATTTAATTCACTGGATGAGACCGAGCTGAGCCCTCTGACGGTGCCCACTCCCCCACTGAAGCCTGCCACCTGTCTGTCGTTAATAAAACAACTTGCTCTCGTATATTAAACATATATGTGTGTATATTTGTATAAACGGCTCCGAGTCAAGCTGTGCTTAAATGACAAGCGGACATGCATAAGTGACAGTGAAATGTTGCACTCGCAGCAGCAAATGTGCATTGCTCGGTCTGCCACTCCTCTCTGCCGTGGGTCCTTGTAATCGTTGGTCATCCATTCAGGTAAATAAATTTGTGCCGAGTCCTGCTTTTGTGGAGCTCTTAAAATTATTAAAGAAATGTAAAAATATTTCTGTCGATTAAGGCAGTATACATTTTATTAACAAGATGACACTGACTTGAAAGAAAAGAGTCCAAGGCAGTAAATAAGTGACCATTGGGGTAACATAAAAACGTGATGTTGCTACGGGAGACAACTATAAAAGGCTATCTTCTGAAGAAAATCTTCTGAAAGAAGAGTCATTCAATTTTTTGAATGAACTTGATAATTTAATTGGGTATATGAGATCATCTCAATATCCTGTATTCAACAGTCTAAGCCGGAATATTTGATTTCCCAACTCAACTGTTGCTCGAATTGAGCAATTTTTCCATTAAAGCGGAAAATTTTATTTTATTTCATTTCAAGCGGAACACACCCACGTGTATAAGCCAATGCGAGTGTGCACCTCCACCGGCAGTCGGCAGCAACGGGAAATGCATCGCACTTCCGTCATCAAATAGCAATTTTGCAAACATTTGCAATTACTTTTCCGAGTCGATCCGAATATTGTATTGATTCCATGCAAACAGCCCACGGGAATGCAATTTTCCATCACCTTGGCGAAAGAATGCTCATCACATTAACACTGAACCCAGTCAGAAGCTGCCATGAACTTCCTTCTCAAAAGAGTTGCAAAGACGGTCGAAGGGAATGTCAAATATTAAAAGCCTTAAACTATGCAGAGTTTGTACTCGGCCGACTCTTTTTATGACAAAAAGGAAAAATCCTGGGGGAAACAGAGCAAACTAAAAGCCAAATCAACCCGACGGTCCGGCGTCCAAACAACAAATGGCGGTTAGAACCATTTCGGGGGTTCAAAGTGTGTGTTGTGTGTGTTTGGGAGGGTACAAAAAAGATAAAAAAAAAAAACAAAAAGCAACTTTAGTTTTTGACATCCGGTCCATTTAGCCAACACGACGACGACAACAACCTGGCAGCAATCAGTCGCATTTTCCGGCCCGGCTTCTGGCTGTGGTTGTCATGCATTTTAAAGCACCCTCGACAAAAGTTGATTTCTCTTTTGACCCATTATGAAATTGCTCTGGCAATTTTGCATAAACAAATTACAAAGCAAACACAAACGCTGACCTTTCAGCAACTGGGATACTCACAGCCAAGGAATGAAAGTTCCCAGCAGAAAGCCGAGTTCCAAACACTCACAATCAGAATCAGAATCAGACAACAACCTGCTTCTTCTGCTTTTGTCAGCCGAAACTGGGCAACTTTTTATCAGGCTGTTTGCATAGGATCAAACAAGAAAGCAAGGATAGCGCGTGCATCCCAGGGCAATTTTATTGAGTCCTTTAAGTTTTTAGTAAATAACACAAAAGCAACTCAAAGGCGTCAACAAATTGCCAGTAAATGTTGGGCGATGCGTAACATTTGGATGATCAATCGGCAGGGGAAAGAAATGGGTTGTCGTTGTCCGGAGTCCCGGAGTCCGAACGGCTTTCAAGGAATTTGTGTCCTAGTTTGCTTTAATTTTCATCCGAATTGATTTCCATTAATGCCCCCTGGGAGGGCAGCAGGCCAGGGTTATAAAACATGGAACAGTTTTGCCATGCAAATGATGCATAAAGTTTTGGGTCATTCTCCGGAATTTATGTATTTGCGTGTGTGTGAGCCAGTGAAGTGTTTGACCTCTGATTGAGAGCTTTGCTTGGCATGTCGGCCAAGTTGGCTCCAAACTCAAATTAAAACCCCAAAGCGGTCGAACAAACTTGGCCAGGATTTGTGTGCTCTCGACAGTTAATCGGTTTCATGAATTCACAGTTCACATCCCAGTCAAGAAAACTATGGTTAGTAAATATTTTATAGTTCCATAGTATGGTATAGTTTCGATTTAAACTATTTTAAACTCTTATATTATTCATAAAAAATGGAAAAGAACTCGACAAGAACTGCTTTCATAATCAAATCAAGGGCTAAGTGACTTTAACAGACATTGGCAGCGGATCAATTATGATATCCCCCTGATGTGGCCTTCAACATGCAAGGTATATCCATATACAAGCCACAACCAATCATAAGGCATCTAGAACGTGTGCATAATTCAGATCAACTGTCTGCACTTCGCTTGGGCAAAATCTGAAAAATGGACTTGGGGCCACGAGGAGGGACTGGACTCGCAATTGCGATTTCATTGCGATGC